CAGTGCCTTTAGCCATGAACATCCCAGCTCTTGGTGCTTTGTTGTCACAGCTTGGGCCATCGTTGTCACCTCTTGGTCTGTAAGCACACTGTCCATTCTCATCTGTTTGGTATCATAGAGTCATGAAGGGTAGAAAACACCTCCAAGGTGATCAAACCCAACTTTACTTGAAGAACTGCTTCATCTCTTAAACCAGTGGAAGGTTCTTTGTGGCCAACACTTTGTAGTTGTGAAGGAAATGTGGGTGAATGTTTTAAGCAGTGCTGAAAATAATCTTGCCACGAGTCCAGTCCTCTTTCCTTCACACATGTAGTATTTAGTTGAAAGCTTTTTGCCAGGAATGAGGTTTCAATTATGTTTCTGCTTGAGTGGAAGAGTCAACAGTCCACTACAAGACTGAGCTGTCCAATTCCCTTTCCCCAAAGATGAAGAAGTTTTCCCATTCATTCTCCAGCCTTGGGAAAAACAAGAGCAGAGGCTCAACTTTTCCACTGGGGCATGGGAGAGAAGTTTAATTGCTGAATTTGTATCAGGGAACTTGAAACTTGTGAAAGTAATTGTTGATTAACATTGAAACTAATTGTTACCAAAGAGAAAACCAATTGTTACCAAAGAGAGCACGAGGGTCTCACTTGAGTGAGTTGTGTAGATGTTTGACTACTCTGCAGTTAGGGAGTGAAAATCATCTCTGAGTTTCTTAAACCCATGTCTTTCAAACACTTCACTTTACAGGCTCCAGGAATTTTGTGGAATTGCTCCCAGAGTACATAAATGTGCAGGTCTTTGGGGGAATTGATATTGGCTAGCTGCAAGAAGCGTGAAGGGAAATGGCTGCATGTAGGGCAGTAACTTCAGAAATCTTGAATTAAACTTCACTGCCAGTGACTGAAATGTTGGTGGACATAAGGAAACACTTGTGCACCATGAGGACAGCCAGGTGTTGGAGCAGCTTGCTCAGAGGTTGTGCAGTCTGTGCTGGTGTCTCTGGTTTCTTTGCACTCATTGCCTTGACGTGCTCCTTTTATCTGTAGAGTCACTTGGTGTTACCTACAGAAAAAGAGAATGTTGCCTTTTTCCTTCCCAAGCTTGTCACTTACCCACTGAGAAATAACAAATTCATCATCTGCTCAATCTCATCTTCATTGGTCTTGGGAAAAATCATTTCTGTCTCTGTTGGCTAATTATTCCCTGGGTGCCAAGTGTGGAAGTCTCCATCAGTTCCTGCTGCACGTGTCCCTGCAGGTTCTGGAAAGCTCCTCATGCTGTTGGCATTGACACTGTTCTCTGCTCCTGCTGAAGCACAGGGCTTCAGTAAAAGTCAGGAATGATCCAGGGAAGTGGTGCTGCCCTGGGCAAGTCAATTGGGAAAGAGGAAACACAACTTGTCTGTGAGGCATCATCCCAAAGCTGCTTTTGCCACAAGATGCTCTTGAGGAACGTGGGGAGAGGTGAATCCTGGGCTGCTCCAAAGGCTGATGGAGCCTGTGAGGAGTCAGCAAACTGTAAATCAGCACACAGAGATCTCCTAATAATTAATGAGGTCATGGAAGACCTGCATTTCCCAGTTCTCTTCCCACAGTGGCCCAGTTCCCATTCTGCAGGAGGTCGTGGGTTTGGGTTCTCCCAAGTCTTGTGCCTAAGGCAGAACAAGCATTTCTTGTAAAAATTCTTTTCCTTTGTGTGGAGAAAAATCAAGAGTGATTTAATGATTTCTTCAGACAGGAGCTTAGCAGTTGGTGGTGTTTTCAGAATTGTTCTTTGCAGTATTAGAATCTCTGCAATTATTCCAGAAGCACATCCACTGGAACCGGCATGTTGCAAATCCCATGGATAAGCAGTCACCATCTTTTAACTCAACAAACTAAAGGATAAAATTTTTGCCAATCTAAGACTGACAGAAGTTTATCTAATTTGATTTTTAATAGGTTTTGGTAAAGTTTTCTGTCTAAATTGTTTTAGAGCAGGTTAATTTCTGCCCTAAATCAAACTGTTGTGTATGCTAAGAAAACATTTACTACATAAAATCAACTTGAAAGATATCTGCTAGTATGTTTTTTAGCAGTTTACAAAAAAAATTTGGCAATTCAACTTTAATTTGTGTATAATATCATTGTTTTGAACAGTTGATTGTTTTGACTGGAATGTTCATTTATTTACAACAGTTGTTGATAACTCCTTGGACCAGGCAAGACAGTTTGGGCTGTACTGAAATTTGACACTTGGACTGTTGGAAATGAATGTGGTGTGAACAGGTGAACACTTGGCTGTCCACATTAATAAAACAGATGTTTGCAAAAGATTTTTAATTTTGCATGACTGTAATTAAAAATTGAAGGAGAGCATCTTATTTAGAAAGTTTTGGTGCTGAATTACTCCAGAATGGTAGAAAGATGATGAAAATGTTTTTCTGCCAAGGCTTGTGCACCTCTCAAGGGATGTTTTAATGTCAAAATCTTGGAATTGTCTTTGCAAAAATGAGCATAATGGATCCCAGGCATTTAGGTTAAGTTGTGTAAAATACAGAAAGTTAAGTCAGCTATTTGTGCCCAAATTTGTTTAATTTTAAGAGTAGCTGGAAGTATTATAGGGGTTACCTCTACATTAGATAATTTAAAAGTGTGTTGTGCCTAATGCCTTTGAGCTTTTTAGTAAAAAAAAGTGTGATGAGCAATTGTTGTGATAACCAAAGTTTAATACATCAGATTTTTGGTGACAAAGCCAAGACTTTAATTCTACACTTGCTCCTTTTCCCTTTTGATAGCTGGTCCACAGTCCCAGGGCAGGATAAATTGCTGCTGCCAGAATTCTTTCATTTCCTTTGGAAAGAGAGGAAATCTGAATCATTAGCCTAATAAACTAATGTTTAGTTGTCTAAATTTAGGTGAGAAAAACTCAAAACAGAATTAGCACAACTATACAGAGTTATTCCCACAGGAGGCATTTTGGAGTACTTCCTTTTTATTATTATTATTATCTTTTTAATAACTTCTTTGTGTATTTCTGCAAGTCTTGATATTTCTTAAAAGACTTGAAAGAACATGAAAAGATTTCATGTGCATTGAAATTCATCTTTATATGGTGCTGTTTGCAGAGAACTTCAGGTTCAAACAGTTCACTCTCTTTAAAACTTAATTTACAGTGGGTTGGTTTATTTTTTCTCCTATTAGTAACATAACTAGTAGCAACTAATTACTAACATAATTAATCATCTTTCTGGATGAAACATTGAGTGATCTTCCTGAGGTTCTGGTGCTGCTGCTCCAGCCTGGATTGTCACCTTTGGCATTCTTGGTTGCATTTCATGGATTGGTTTTCCCTGAAGGACACGGTGATGGCTCTCTCTGG